TCAGAGAGTTCTTCTGTTCTCCGCACACACCTGGGTGTTTATCATAGGGGAGGGGGGCTCGGGGTGTTAGATGATCAGGCCGTGGGACAGACCTATACCGCCGCGTCTTGGGACACAATCAAGAGCCCCTGTAGGCAGTCGCATGGCGGCCAGTAATAGATGTAGAGAAGGAGTACCTTTCTGGCTTATTAGCCATCGTCAGCCAGCCATACTCGACCCCGGGATTATACAACTTGGGATTAAAACCCGGATTCTTTGGCCATTGAGGGTTTTCACTTGCACCACTGGACCACATATGTTGGTTTTCCCAATCGGGCTTGTGGTTCGATGACAGGACGTTGAACTGTCTAACGTAGCGTGGCCCATTTAGAGAGAAATCAGACTCACTGATGGCTCTGAGTTGTTGTTACGTTGCATCGCTAATCGCTTTGTGTCGCAGTTGGTCCGCGACCGACTCTGCTGTCAGTTTGAAGCGTCGGCGTTGCCGCCTGTCTGCGCCTGATTCTCGCTAGACAGCATCCCTCGTGATTCAGCCTTTGGACCAGCACGGCAAATGGACAGGATTGTTTGTGTTGTCGACAGCCTCTATGGTCGTTCGCTGGGAGAACGGTATCTTTAAGGCGACCGGCGAATGGAGTAAATACCTCCGAGTGATGCCAGCAACTACCTGAGGTCTTTGGCGCTGTAGTCCCACAAATTTTGGGATGTGTCCTGCGTTTCGTATCTTTGTCAGACGGACTGGTCCCATTTCCAGTGGACATCAACATCAGCATTGCAGTAGGTGTTCAAGAACAGTGCCCAGCTCGTAGACCAAGAGCGCTATCAGAAATCATATTCCGTTGGCCCCCTCACTCAACGTCAGTCGTGTCTGTTAGGACTTCCGGCTTTACCAACCGCTGCAAACAATACCCTCACTTGCATCCGTGACGCGGCCTCGAGTTCTAGGTGCTTCCGGCCCCGACTGGGGTGTTCTGGACCACCATCACCCACTGAGGCTGAAGTGGCCTCTTCATTTCCATTTGTTTACATCAGCAGCACCTAAATGGAGTCCGTGCCGCCCTTACTGCAGCCGGGTGCGTACGGTAGACGGTCGTGTGCGTGGCACGCGTAGACGTACCGTTTAATTTTGTCAGCCAATGCGTCCGCATCCACCGATCGCCTCCGAATCGGACCGGAGTGAGGGAGGGTAGAGTGCAGTTGATGTTGCGAAAGTCTACCTCACTATAAACTCATTCCCCTGTTAGTCGATTGTTTGTCTACTGCGGTAGGTCTTAAGCATGTCTGGTCGTTTATAGTAAACAGTTCAGTTCTAGCCCCGTTCTGGGTCTCTCTGACTCTTTCTCTTCCCTGCCACTTGCACCTGTCCGAGTGAAATTGAATCTGGTGACTGACATGACGTCCCGCTTTCTGGTGTTTCACAGAGGTGAGAGGTGACATACAGGTCACACTAGTAAGGAGTTATTGCAGTCTGGCTCTCAAACTGAAGGTGGGATGGGGTATCCCATCAGTTGGTAGCCTTCCACGCCAAGAGCTATAACGCGTCTGATTTGTGGCAGTAAAGAAAACACCGGGCTGTTGAGAGGATGGATTCCTCTTTAGTGTCTTTCCCACTTATACACGGACGACCTCTTTGGGACTGCCGATAGACTGACGATGAGATTGGATGTAGTTTAGGTGATACCATACTAGGTGATACCATACTAACAGCACAGGTACTAGCCAAAAGCCCATACACGCGTGTTTTGCCGCTGCATGACGCACCTGCGAGCGGTTCGGCTCGTCAATGGGTCCCCCAGCATTCCCGTGTGTTTTATGGTAGATATCCCAAATTGTAATTTCCTCAGAAATTATATATGTGGTTACCCGCTGTGGCTGATGGATTTTGGCCTAAATATTCATGTATAAAATTCTCGGTCTGTGCCTATGGACCTTGAATAAACTGATCTACTCCAAGTTCGTAGACAATTTCTGAGGAAATTAAAAAGCGACAATTAAAAGTATTGGCTGGTACGACGTCTGCCCCCTTCTTAGGCATGCCATACGCATGTACGAAAATAGTTAAGAACTCAATTGAACCCAGCACAACCCGAAAAACTTATGCCACGAGTCACCTTGACCTCAGTTGTTGTACAGCGCAGCTACAGCGTAGTCTATTTGGGGGAGGGAGGGAGGCGGGGGAGCCAACCATCTAGCATGTGGCGCGCTTTAACGAACGCTTTGACTTGCCAGACCGTTTTGGGCGCTCGTGGATGTACACGGTTTTATACTTTGACGCTGATCGTTTAAATGGAGCCATCACGAAACAGCACAGGATTTCACAGTCGTAGGTAGAGTGATGATTTGTAAACGTGCATTGCCTCTACTACTAAGCTATTCACACCTAGCTCTTTACCGCACACTACTTCTTTGGACAACATGTTAAATGTATAACAATTAAGAGTCTGAATAAGGCAAAGGAGACGAAACACGCGAGTCATACAATTTTGTAACTTGACCCCATTCCCTCATCCGTCCTTCCACTCATCGTCCCTGCGTTCGCCAAGCTGTGGAGTACACGGTGGGAGTCATCGTCCACAACGGTCGAACAGTTGGGGTTTTCGTGATAGAGAGCAGTGGATCTGGCGTATCTGACTTTTGAAGGCCAATTTTTTCCGCGCGCATCAACGCAGATCAAGCACTCGCCGCGCTTGCCCTTTTTGAACTGTCAAAAGGACTGTGTGTTTCGACTTGGCAGGTACTGAGGGCTAGTTAGACGGCAAGGGTTTTTGTCTAATTTCGACACTGACTTCATTATTCACCATGTTCGTCATCATCAGCACAAACTGTGAGTCAGTGAACTCCAGACGCTCTTCCTCCAGTCGCCCGTCACCCCGCGGAATTCCAGGTGCGAGGCGAGACAGACGAATGAGGGATGTGGCTTACAGACGTATGCCGGTGGACCGTTAGCTCCGACGCGCCGTGTTGGTGCAGCGCCGAAACTAGCATACTTCGCGCCACGTCTATTCTAGTTTGACAGGTGGTGGAGCCATCATCAGGAAACGCCTATTCTATACAGAGCGGTTTTATTGCAGTTCTAGTGGACAGAAGATCGATGCAGAGGGAAAATCTTGTGACAGCTCCACCCCCGCAAACGATGATGTCCCACATCGTAAGACGCAACATCAGCGGCATGCACGTGATTGGCTTTCTAATGAAGCAGACTTGCGTAGCGTCTATCGCACTCCGGCTCACCTCACCCACCGACTGCCTACGCGTGTCACACTTGACTTAGTCCCCACAACATCTACGGGGCTTTCCTTTGGGCGGCTCGGTAGCTGACAGAGTTATACACCCCGTCCACGCGTTCAACGCACGATTTTGTCAGCAAGTAATGCACTGGGATGTATCAAGAACATGTCTCGCACTTGCATGAGATGTGCAGGTTCTGAGGTAACTTTGCCTCCGTCATACCGGCGATGGCGACCTGAATCGCATGCCTCCTGCCAGAAAAAGGTATGACTATAAATGGGTACATTGTATGGAAGCTTCTAAATATGACGGTAAGGGTAGGGTATGTGGCCCCCCTATCTAGTTATTCAAAAATCTACCTTGCCTTATTTGGGTAGATGTGATATAACCCTAAGGCACAACGCGGCGAGTGATTTCAGTCGCGCGATCGGCGGTCGCTCCTCTTCTGTTGTGTATACCCTTTCGCGGCCGACTGGATAACGAGCCCGAGGCCCGGTGGTTGGCGCATTGGACTTCTAACCTGCAGGTGTCCGATGGCAAGACGGTGGCTGAGAGGGCCAGCCAGCCTGTCTATTCGTGTCACACTTGACCTAGTCCTCAGAACATCTATCGGAATTTCCTTCGGGCGTTTCGGTGGCCGACAGAACTAGACAGCACGTCTAGGTGTGCAGTGCACCATCTGGGATATACACTTTTCGCTTTTACATGACATGTACATGTTCTGGCATGTTTTGCGTTCGTCCTACCGGCCATGTCGAACTGAAACGCATGCTTTCTGCCAGAAAGATGTACGACTGTTATGCTGTACGATGTATGGAAGGCCTTTAGGTGTGACGGCAAGGGCAGTGTATTTGATTCCCCCTAGTAGCCGTTCAAAAATCTACCTTCCTATCTTATCTAGGTAGGGCGATGTAACCCCAAGGCACGGCGGGCCGAGTGATTTCCGTAGCGTGGATAGGCGATTGCCCCTTTTCCATTGTGTATACCCTATCGCAACCGACAGAGCAACGAACTCGTGGCTCAGTGGTTAGAGGCGTTTGACTTCTAACTAACAGGTCACGTGACAGAGCCCAGAGCTTGCACACCTCGGAATTCGGTATAGCTGGCTGACGACGGTTAATAAACCAGGAGTGGCCATTCTGGTCTCCCGTGTCTTTGTCCGTAACGCTATTCCGTGGTCCTTGGATGATTTGTTTGCCAAAAGGCCACCAAAGGGGTCATGCGATACGCGGATTTTGATCTTCAATAGCCCGGATCAGGCTCAAGTCTAGGGTTAGGGATACTGCTGGTGTTAGTGTTAGTATTAGTATTTGGGCTCTTCCTAGGACCGAGGTTGTCAGGCTTGGGCTAGATTTGCGGTTGAAGCGGGGTTAGGATTTATAATCGGGGCTAGGGCTTTAGAGTTTGGGTTAGGGGATTTAAGGCCTAAGGTCAAGGTTGTGGTTATATTCGAGTTTTCCTTGAATGCATACGGATTAAGGGTAAGTGGTAGCCTTTACAGGCATGGTCACGGGTCGCTTTAGAGCTGTAAGAAGCCGCAGTCTTCCCAGAGGGCTATATAGCATACTGTTGCCAAAGTGACCTAGGGATACGCGGGCAGATAGATCGGGGTTCGCTTATGGAGTCTGGAGTGCGATGTTTTATTGAAGATTTTTGTGAAGGCGCATATGTCCGGATAGGTCGATACAATGACCGAGCGTCTTAAGGCAGTGTGGACCGGTGAGGTGGGTGCGAGGGAGTGTCTATTGGAGCTCATGGCATTGGTTCACCGGTCACAGTGCGGTGGATTCGCAGGTGATCGATCGGGCTGATGCGTAATCACGATGAGAGTTGGTTGAGATTAAGCCCGCGTTGCCGGTGATAAACTCGAGGATGGGAATGGCAGCGTTGGTGGTGGTGGTGATGGTGGTGGTGGTGGTGGTGGTGGTGGTGGTGGTGGTGGTGGTGGTGGTGGTGGTGGTGGTGGTGGCGGCGGCGGTGGCGGCGGCGGCGGCGGCAACGACGATCCGCCCAAGCGTAATTAGCAGTGTCTAGGATTTAAGCGAGAAAGTTGTATTTCTCTCTGTTAAAGATCCCTGCCATCGGCAGGTTTGACATTGCAATGTAGGTTACAGACATGTAAGCTAAACAACATTACCGACAAAGGCAAGAAGTATTGAAATGACCATTTCTGGCCTGTTTGCTTGTTGTTCTGCCAATATGCACTATTAGCCGCTGGGTGGCTGCCGGCGCGGCTCGAGACTGAATCCCAAGGCAAAAAGCGGCACGAGTGTGTCCCACGTCGGTATCACTGCCATTGTTAATATACTCGATTGTACTCGACAAGACGATGAGGTCGTGACTCAGTGGTTCGAGAGTTAAACTTCCAGCCGATGAACGGCAAGTTCGAGCCCCAGGGGTCTCACACCTCGGGTTGTGTACGGCTGGCTAGTGACGGCTAACAAGCCAGAAATGGCCCTTCCAGCCCCGCACGTCTTTGTCAGTAATGCTAATTTGCCCATATGTACTGGTAGCCGCTGTGCGGTTGCTGCCAGAACTCGTGATTGAGTCTCAAAGTGCAAAGCTGGACGAGTGTGTCCAATCGGTTAGCGCCCCTCCACTGCGGTTATAAACATGTCAGATATGTAATCGCCACCGAAAGCCACGCGGTAATTAGCGATTTTTGTCGATCGTTCTTTCACGAAAAGATTATTCGGCCAATGCTGCGGCTGCTGACGGAACTCGAGACTGAGACCCTAGGTGCAAAGCGGGTCTATTATGTCCGGTTCCGGGATTGATGAGCGCCCATCTACCATGCTCATAAATATGCCTGTTGTGCAATTGACACTGAAAGCCGCGCGGCAATTAGGGATTTTTGTCTATCTCTTTTTTCACAAAAAAATACCACAAGACTTGTTAGCACGGGACATAATTACGAGTCTACTCGCTGAAGGCAACATGATGACCGCATCCCGGTCATTTGTAAAAGTTATCCTCGAACATAAATGTACGAATATCTCGTAGAGAGTATGCCTTTAACTGCGTTTTTTATACTCGTTTTGTGAAAAAATGCGCCTTCTTGGCCTGTACTGTTTGAAGGAAGAAAGAATTTATGTCTTGGAAATATATGAAACTTCAGAAATATGCACATGATTATTCGTCCAACCTACTGTTCACGAGTGTCGAACTGTCCATCTTAATTTGTGCGCCGCGATCTTTATCCATCGCACTGTTTTACTGGTAGTGAGAGGATCCGTCATACATCCATTAATCTGTCTACGTTAATCTAACTTCCGTTAATTTGGAAATGCTAGAAGAAGATGAAAACACAGGCTTCGTTTCCACAGTATTCAAAGATTTGTGCACTTGCTCAAGGCGGTCTAACAGGGATAAATGACCGATAAGGCAGAAACGTATGAAATATTCATCCCTCCTCCAAGTACTAAAATTGAATAAGGTCTTAAGGCTTACAAAATGACTGCGAGACCTGTAGATTGCAAAACTCCTCTAGGATTTATGACGGCATTTACGTGGGGACTGAAAATCCATCGCGATGAAACACTACTTAGGTTCTGTCATCTTTCCAGTTGCAGCCTATACACCGTTGCTCTGATTGGGCCACCAATACGGTTAAGCATTAAACGTCACTCAGACGGTCTTCCCGAATTCCCAACTTTAATAATTGATCGAAACCGGGAGGATGGATCTCTCCCGACATTAACTGTGGTCTTGTGCTAAATTCCCCAATCCCTGCCCAAACCCTTTTGACCCTAACACCAAGCTCCCTGGGATTTAAGGCAAGACCATCTGTAATACGGACGGTCAGTATACCTTGACCAAACCAAAAGAGTTTTTGACGTTGCTTGAGACTAAATGGTCCTCTGTAGGCCGGAGACCGTTCCACCTGAGGCGAAATGCATGGACTTTGTGTTGGCCGAGTGCCTGTGGTCGGGGCCGAAAGGACGTCGTCACTTTGTCCAGTCACCACTTGTGTCAGTTTATTTACGGCGCTGAAACAAAAACAGCCGCGCCGAGCGATTTCTGTCGGCGAATGCACACCTGCGCGCGTCCCCTGTTCGGCGATTTGTCATTATGTACCAAGGCGTCTCGCTGCGGCAGTCACCGTGATTGTGGCGTCGCCACAGGAAGCCTTGAATTGAGGTTGACTTTTGCTGTTCTGCTACATACTGCCGCTGGATGTGCAACTCAGCAGAAACGGGGTGTCTGTCTGTTAAGCCACCTCAATAACTAGCATAATCTGTCGGTCCGACGAACAAGGAAGATCAGGGTCTCATTGTACACCTTCCCTTGCCCCTGGAAGCAGTTGTAACCAATGAGAAGTATGACCAGAATAAGTAGGCCAATTAGAATGGAGGACGAGGAAAAACGAAAAATTTGTGCAAAAACACGCTGTCGGTAGGAAATTTCGTGACGGAAATCTGACAATTGTACGCTTTCGTCTCACAAGTAGTGGAATCTTTGGGGGTCCCTAAAGGGATACATCAGCAGTTTGACGCCGACTGCAGTCCAGCTCACTTATGGGGAAGTTCTGAAAGCGGCCTAAACGTACTAAGTGTCGAAACCCTCCTATTCGACCCCAAATAAGAACACAAGGCAGTGGCTTAAGGGAAATACTAGGGATTATTTAGGACTACAGAAAGATGGGTTGGAGTTTGGGCAGGGTAGAGAACGCGATGAGGTCTTTTGGTGGGGACTGGTTGGTCTGGAGATGATCCTTGGTTGATCCGGCAAGCGGGAACGGTGATGACATGTAGGGCGGGAGGACGTCGGGAAGGCGTTCTTTGGTCAAAAATGCCCAGACATCCCTTGTCCTCGGTATTTTTGGGGCCTCCAGTCGATGCGGATAGGTTTATTGAGTTGACCAATAGGCAAAAGTAAGTATGGACAATGAAAGGTAGAATAACACAGAGGATTAACCACTGGGACGATCGAGGCCGCGAACTGCCATATATAGCAGTCTTGCAATGGCCAATTGGACCAAAGTTGAGAGGTGGCTAGCGCGGCGCTGAGGCGCCGATGGAGAACCGGCAACGCGCTAAGGGGTCCAGTATGATTAATCTTAAATCGGACAAATTGCGTCTACATCCCTATGGTTCCCCCGACGTCATCCCCCCATGGCGTTGTCAGGAGACCCAGATTCGCATCAGGCTGAAACAATCTTCACTCAGTGATGCTAGTGGAACTGTCTCGCCTTGCAGCCTTCTAACTTCCTCAAAAATTGCTGATCGAAGTATGAGTAAATTCCTGGTCACAGGCTTTTCAGATGCGGTGCAAAAATCTATGTGAGTGTTTGAGTTGAAACCTAATCAGCTTCAGCTGGACAACCGCATGACATTCGAAAACTGTCAGCGGGCAGCAAGCATATCAGATCGCGTGTTGGAGGGGCTGTTCAGCTTTGTCCGCCAAGGCTTCCGAGTCCATCAACAGGTATCATGTGCTGCCATAGAAGCCGGATGGACGAGGGATGGGGGCGAGTGAGGCAGATGCTGCGCAAGTCGCTGGTGCTGCGCCCATCCCGTGTGGGTCATACGATGCACGTCGCCAGACGCAACTGTTGAACATTTACTCACTCAGAATACGCATATCAACCGATTCGTCACAATCAGCGAGTCGTGGGTCTGGTCTTCTCACTAGTACCTATACTGTCAGTATGGGGAATTATGAAGATTACTCAGTCTTCCTACTGAAGTCGTTGGATTTCGGCGTAGATATTCATATCAACTTTTGGACAGAGCATCAAAACCTTTATTCTGAACGATTTACCCCCAGTCGACGAAGGAAATTAAGAAGTTGAAATTAGTTTACCCAGTCGAATTGAGGTTTACGGCATTTCTAGTCTTCTAAGTCATTAACAAACACTGCATGCATACCCGTGCCTTATTTCGGTAAGACTTGGCAATGGAAACCGACTCTGCTTAGTTCAAAGACGCTCAACACCCACACGTGACTGCGATTACAGTGCGTCATCTTTGGAGACGGCCTCTGAGGCTGTAGCGAAACAGAAGATCGGCGGAGCGAGGGTTGACTTCCAGCCGTAATGAGCATGTGCCGCGAAGCCGTGCTAGCTGGCAGATTATGTGGTCTTTCGACACAAAACCTGGGAATAGAGATTCTGCCCATGGGCTGAGGCGACGCTGACGTCACGCCCGCCATCAAGATGAACGACAGTTCGATGTGTGCAAAAACTACTGTGGCATAGGTATTCTTGACGTTGTCGCAAACCTCCTACGCCGCATTCCCCCCCTCGCTTCTGCGCAGACCAGCGGGGGCGGGAAAGCGGTACTCAGCTCTCCCCGCCCCTTCGAACCCTCTATTACCCCTATTGCCATCGAGAGTTCACATTCACCTGTTTCAGGGTTTCGTCCTCCGCGGCGAAGACCTGAGCGAATTCTGCCTCTGAGCGGCCAGGGTGGGTCGGAATGTGGTCACCTTGAAACGTGAAATCGACTGAACTGATCATTTTGGATGTCATTTCAAGTAGACGTACGGAACTAGGGGCAGGGAACGGGCGACCCGATGCCAGAAATTTGGCGAAGGGTTTTGGAGAAGCGGACTGCTGAAGAGGGCAGATACAAGCCCGAAACGACCGCTGTCTCTTTAAAGTTTCAGGCCGTTTTTAACCTCCGTTGACCGACAGCTCTCAGTTGGCACTCTCACGAATGTGAGGAGTGTGTGCTACTTGATGTGTAGTGAGACTGCCTTGCAGAACTTCGTCGTGGATTGTTCGACAAGACACGGAGACATGAACCCCTCCCCCCTGGGGGACGTAGACAGCTTTGCACTAAATTCCAGCAAGGATACCTATTTCTTTGTCCTAACCCCAACATTAACCCTATCTTTGACCTTAGTCCCGACCCTAATCCCCTGGAATTCAGCGCAAGACCACCTCGATTGCGGGAGTGGGTTTACTATTCCTGTGTCCTACTCTTTCCAAAATCTGAGAATTCTTCCCCAAAACAAGCACACAAGACTGTCCTAAACCGTTAAAAGGCATCATATGAAAACACCTGCAGGGAGCAATAGGATTTTAACGAACTTCAAACGGTGCATGTTTTCCACTAGCAAACTTCAGGCAGACAAAAAACCTATATTAGATGCTTCCACCTGTGCCGGTGGGCCTTACAGATGAAAATTGAGCGCCGCGTTTTGAACGAAACAATTTTTCAGCGTCAAGTGTCTATATTAATGCATGTCACGGTATAAAAGCGAAAAGTGGACGAAAAAGCAAAAACAACGAGTTACAGGGGAGACGGGGAGACGAGGAATTTAGAGTCGTCTGGACTTGCCAATCAGGAGGGGGGGGCGATTATGATCTAATCCCAAGGCGAGGGAGCGGCGGGAGGGTGTCATTGGGCTGTGCTGGTGTTTCCTCGCTGTAACACAAAATGATAGTACGCGGGTAGATATATGTGGGGTCGCAGTGGGCCAGGATAGCTGGAGAGTATAAGTAAACGCCTTCCGCCGGCATACAGTTGGGCTGCCTAACCGTACGGTCACGAGCCACGTGGTAGATGCGCTGGACCAACACGGGGGCCGTATCGGATTCTGGCAGGCGTTATCGGATTTGCGTATGTGACAAATGCCAACATTTCAGGGTGTAGTGGAAGACCCCGTTGCCGGCAGACGTCGTGCACACTGAGACCCCTGCTGCCTATCTCACTGTCAGAAAACTTTGTCATTTGCTGTGTGGACCAGAGGGTGTGGAGTGGAGCGCCAAGGTGTGGGCTCGACCGTGCCATCTACCTGCGCCCTCCTCCCCCTCCGGTCTTCCTAACTATGTCCTGACACCGGGTCCAGGTGGGAAGTGGGGAAAAGAGACAGTTCGGTAGATGCTTCGCAAGTCTACATTCACTGTAAAACAACTCACGCGCAAGTCAGCGTCCCTGCTCCACTTTGCCGTGGGGCACACGGTGAACATCACCGGAGACGACGGTCGAGCTGTCGGGTATGACTAATGAGCTGCTCAAGTCTATCGACTACGTGAACTGGACCTGGGAATGTTTCATTTTGAAGGCAAAACTCCCAGCGAGGTATAAGATAATGACATGTTAGAGGAAAGTCAGGTGGATGTGGTCGGACACTGCGAGGCTACGCAATCATGTCCCGTTACCTTTCTCGCTGTGGCTTGGGGCGCATGGGGTTGAGTGCTATTTTACAGCTGAATTATCCTCCCTCCCGCTTACACACCTCGACGGCTGGATCTTGAAACCATGCCATATGATCTCAGCTCATTGAAAACACAAGTCTGTCGTAGTTCGGGCGAATTAGGTCTATGTAATTTTTTGTCCAATTGAAAAAACTGTAGTATATGTACGGCTCTCTACAGAGCATCACACATCTTGTAGCGTCTGATGAAGCGACGGTTTCGGTGAGCGTGTTGGCATCTTATCAGCCATTAGTCATTGTAACAGGCATTTTTGACCAAAAGATCTCTCCTCGTTCCTGTTCCTGACAGGCAAAAACGAGCAGAATCTTCGTGGAGTTAGCTTTCACAGTGTTCCACGATTTCGCTGTTTTATGGAAAATGGTCCAATACCTTATATCTGAACTCTTTCATAGAAGCACAAAAACCGATGATCGCAGTAGTTTTTTCAAGGAAAACCGCCCCAAGTGGGAATGGTAATTTGATAAGGGGAAAGCGACCAGCCAGGACAACTTTACCAAACTTCCGAATTTTCAAAGAGCCTGATTTGCTGACCACTTTCAAAGTCGCGGCCTTGCGATCCATCCACGCATTTTGCATCTCCCCCGGTTGTTGCTGCATTAGGCAGCAATATCCGAAGAAAGCCATTTTGTTTTTGTCTGTTTCGCGGTTGACAGAGGTTTTTTGCAGCCTACCCTTCCGGTCGAACAGGTCGGTGTTTTCTGCGTCTTTGTCGTCAAACCAGTTCTGGCGGTGGTGGCATGCGCGACCCAGAAAATGACGATGGAACGAATTCCCTTCCGCAGTCCACACCACCATGTTTCCACGGTCTGTAGACAATGCAGTCCGTCCACTCGAATTAACTGTTTTTTTTGCGCCAAGCATCAATGGACAGTGACAGGTCCTACACAGGTTGGTAAGCATGGGAGTTCGGAAATGGTAATTTGATGAAGGGAAATGACTTAACCAGGACAGGTTTGCTGTACTGCTGACGTTCCAAAGAGCTTGGTCGGTCAACCATTGTCAAGGTAACGCGTTTTGCATCTCCTACAGTCGACGCTACGCACTTGAAAAAGGCCGCGTTGTTTGCGTTGGCTTCGCGATTAACGTAGGCTCTGTGCAGCCTATTCCTCTCGAAGGGCAGGTTGGTTATTTCTGCATCGCTGTCGCTAAACCAGTCTTGATGGTGGCGATATGCGTGACCCAGACAGTGGCGGTGGAAGTGGTTACTTTCCACAGTTGATATCATTGTGTCTCTGCGGTGGCGTTGTCGTCCGCAGCCTGTATTGCTCCCAGACTCTAGGCCATAGTTGTTTGCAATATGTTTGGAAAGGCGTTAGAAAGGCGCTACGCACCCCAGCAGCAGTTCTCGGCTGGCACTCAAGACCAATTCTGATTAAAATAGCCCTTCTAGCGTCTGTTTCAGACGTGCGGCAAGGTAGAAAAACTTTTAGATCTTGTCTAGGAACGCGAATTGTGGTTGGCGGGCTTTGATTCAATGGTAGGGAGTGCTCACCTATCGTTCTTACGGAACTCACTCGTTCCGCTGTGCTTTATGGGCTCTCTCTCTCGAGCCCAACCAGGTGCCGCACGGCGCGCATGATATACAGGCAGAATGGTATTACCGACAAAGGCAAAGGAGACTGTAATGACCATTTCTGGCTTATTAGCCATAGTCAGTAAGTCATATCCAACCTCAAAGTGTGGAACACTCGAGGCTCGAACTCGCGACAGGAGAGAGAGAGCCCATAAGGCACAACAGAACGAGTGAGCGCCCCTCCACCATTGTATTGTCCCGATCGCAATCGACAGAACAACGGGCCCGTGGCCCAGTGGTTACAAGCGTTGGACTTCTAACTAACAGGTCGCGAGTTCAAGCCTCGGGTGTTCCTCACTTCGGGTTGGGTATGACTGCCTGACGACGGCTAATAAGCCAGAAACGACCATTCCAGTCTTCATTGTCTTTGTCGGAAATGCCATTTCAGGCTTGGCTTCCACAAAACTTCACAACTCGATCATTTCATGAGGCACGACCCAACATTACTCCGGGTAAGCCACGGGAATGAAAACCCCTCGTGATGCAGGCGGACTTGCGCTAACTTCCAGAAAGTGTATCCTTTTTTCGTGATCTTCCAGTAATGCTACCTATTTGGATGTTCTAACCCTTGCACTGGTCCATACCCAAGTCTTAACCCTAATGCCAACCCGGATATGCCTGGAATTCAGCGTCTGTTAGAGGGGCTTCCTCCCTCTGTGCTCCAAATGGCGTCTGTTTTTAAGTGTACGTTCAGGTCAGTGCATTTTCCGGGGGTGTCAGAGATTGACGAGGCCCGACACCTAATGCACCTCCGAGTGACTGCACTCACACCATCCAGAGTGTGTCAACTAATCCACACACCTCAATTTTCGCAGTTCGGTCTAGCGAGTTTTTAAGCCGATAAGGTTGCGGAGTGCGTCAGGTGTTTGACCCCCTATTGAGCCAAATGCCGACTCAGTTCTGCAATGTCTGACCTTGCGCTTCGGCCGTCACCTGAGCCTGCACCAGGTCACAGGTGCAATGCGCACGACCGGTCTTCAGGCACGGTATCAGTACGACACTGTAAATTCGTGTAATGTGACAGATGCCAGATAAGCATCGGGGAATGCGGGATTTCGTTGATGCCTTCACTACTTTTCTGGCATTGACGCACAGGCCTAGTGTGTTTCAGAATAGCGGAGTTGAGAGATATGGGATCATAATGTGAGAAAAAGGAGGGATTCACCGAAGCAGGTTTATTGTACTACTGACCTATCTGAGAGCTCGTTAGTTTGTCAACGTCTAATGCACACAAACTGAACAGAAAGAGAAGTGGAGGAGTAAGATCTCATTTCGTAGCCGAACCTGCTAGGGTTAGTGTTAGAGGTTAGTGTTAGGGCTAGAGCTATGGGATAGGGTTGGGGGTTAGTATTACGGGATGGGGTTGTGGTTAGGGGTTAAAGGTAAGGGTTACGGTTAGGAGTTTAGGGTTAGGGGTTGGTGTAAGGGGTTAGGGTCAGGGGTTAGGATTAGGCATTCCCCTCGGGCCTGATCGATCTGCATATTCGAATTATCGACCGGCTCGTCCGGGATGTTCTTCCCGAAGGGTATTGGGCCGAATGCCGGCGAAGCACAGTAAGACGTTATAAATATGCGTTACATCCAGTTAATTTTGGCTTGCATTTCCTAATACATATTTTTGTGGCTGACTGCGTTCACCTTCTCTGCCGGGTTGGTATTGGGGACAAGGGTCGTGTGCGTATACGCTCCACGGATTTCAAGTACCAGGCGGGTCATAACA